GAGGTATTTCATGCCTTTACATTCAAGTTGATTTAACTCCTAATTCTGAGATGCCTGTGGCAAAATGATAGTGAAGGTGAAACTGAATCCTTTTCATTTCAGAGCCACAAAGCTCTCTGCCAACAGAAAAGGAGCATTATTTTCAACACCTACAAGCTACAGAGGTGACAGTTATCAGGACTCCCACCGTGATGAAAGAAAACTAGCACACATGAGATTATGGTCATACAAATTTTAGGCAGAAGATAAACAAGTCACCTGATTTCCCTTTCCCTGGGGTCATGCCCACTGTGCCTGGCCCATTTCATTGTCATTCACTCACTCTCTTAAAATCATTTGTTGGGCACTTGCCCAGTACCGAGCCTGTGCTAGGCATTGAGCACATGATAGTGAACCAGCCAAATCCACAGACTGCCTTCTGGGAGCTTATAGTCAGTGTTCAAGCATGTATACCCGGGTGTCTATTCTCCCACTTGCTCCTGAGCCAACTGCCTGAGAGAAGAATTGGATGCCCAGAGAACAAAAGAGGGACCAAACAGTTATATTTTTAATTCCTGGTTAGATCCCCCAAAGAGCTTAAGATATTAAGTACAGTGTAGGTGGCAGGAGATCCGTAACCAACAGTATATTCTAGATAGGCTGTGGGGTCCTAAAGGACAGTGTGGGGGAAAACCAAGGGTAGGAGAAGTACTGGCTAATGATGGCTCAGGAAGGGGCTCGAACAAAGACGGAAGGAGAAAGAGAGGATCTGACTCCTCACCAGGCAGGAGCATTGGTTGGAGCCCTGCTGTTAGAAAATGCACACTTTCATGTTTCCTTACAGGAAGTATCTGCTGCCCATTACCCAGGGCCAGAATTAACTGTTACCAAGTGGAAGACACAAGTGTTCAGGCCTCTGAATTCCTCCCCTATATAGTGAAGGTGCTGCTGGCCCAGCCTCCTGCCCCCTCAGCCATTTCAGAGTACAGTACACCCAGCAGATCTTGGGGAGACACTAGAGTTTTTCCAAAATGTTTGGAAGGGGAAACCCAATGAGGACTTCTTAGAGGCAAAGACAGGAGAACTTTTCTCTACAGAGTTGTGCCAATGGAGACCACTCAGTGTTACCAGTTGGTCTGCAGGGCATTTTTCAAAAGGGGTCTGCCTCATATTTTAATCCGGCATACACAGATTTATGGCCCCAGAACAGCATTTTCATACTGAATCACAATGCATTAGTGAGATATGAAATCATGTGGATTCAGCCAATATTTTAATGAAATAGAATAAAATCAAACAGCATAGAATAGGTTAATATTAGAGTACACTGTTGGTAGTAAGAATAAACATTGTTTTATGAAACTTGTTTCCATTCTAAACACATACATTGTTTCTATTTTACACACACCTATGTCTCACTATCTAAATCTATTTGGTTCCTAAGCAATAATACATATAGCAAGTGATCCTACAAAACTCTGCTTTAATTCCTTTGCCATATAAATGTACTCCTTTAAATTGTGGATCAGGTTGGGTGGGGGGTGGGTGATGGTGATTGAAATTCACTAGCTTAAAGAAACTATAGTTAAGTAGAATGGAAATTTATTTAAAAATTTATTCCAAGTTAATTTAACACACTCTTCTTCTTTTGTACTAATTATCTTTCATTTGGTTTCCCTTAACTTTTGTGTGTGGGAATACATCTCATTTTGCATACATTCTTTCAGTCTCATATTACAGAGAGAAACAAAAGGTGGGAAATAACTGAAAACAGGACTTGGGTTTTGGATGCAATAATCCCCACCACAGGGCAGCCCAGGCCAAATCCTGTCTGTCCCTGTGCCAAACCACTAGACAGAATCTGGACCAGAAGCAGGCTCTTTTCTCCCTTAGAAAAAACTTTAAAAAGCCAATTTCTCAAATCACTGGGCAAAGGACCAACTACTCTCTAGGATAGGGAGCCTTGAATAGGATTATGGCCAATTCATATTTATAAACAGAATTGAATTTGTTGGGGCATCACAATTTTTGTAAACTTTTTGACAAAGTCTATAAACAAAGCAATATTTTCAAAAGTGATTTTAGAAAAATTAAATTAGTTTGCCTGATACTCTTTAAATAATCTTCCTTACCCCCACCCCCACCACTCACCCCTTATCCTGATACATATATATATAATAAAAAAGAGCTATCACATGGCCTTGGGCTACCTGTGAAACAGTGTTGCCAGCACTATATATATAGGGACTTCAACAGGCTTTCATTGCGCTCCCTAAAATTCCCAAACATATCCTCAGGGTGTGTTGCCCTAATAGTCACATGTCCAATCTTCTTTAATTCAGGAGTCACTAGCCTACAACAGATAATTTTAACAGAGGAATGACTACTCACAAATTAACTTAATCTAGTGGGGATTGTCGATACCCTGGAACTAAACACAATGACAATTCCACACCAAGGTCTTCGTTCCCTTAACATCTTAATGACAACTGTGTAACTAATGAATTAAATGTTTTGGCCTTAGAGTCACCACTGACAGGCAGATTTGGCCCAAAACTGACAGTTAAGAGAGTAAAGACTTGAAACCAATTGACTGAGTCTCAACTTTATCCCTAGTGGAGGAAGGAAGACTTCTGTCAGTCAATACCTATAATTATAATTCTGCTATATTCTCTGGCTATATAGATTCTTAGTATTATATCTGTAACATTAGTTGCTTTATGTTTTAGGTTTATTTTGTTGAAAAAAATAACGATCATGAAGTGACATTTCTCAGTCTCAGCCAAATGGAGTAAGTATGCACCTCACCAATACTGCCATCTACAGAGAACTTACCTAATACACATGACTACTGAAAAGCAGCAAAAGAGAGAATTTTTAGTTTTCTCAAGATATTCTAATTCTGTGATTTGCAAGGTAATCAAACAACTAGATAGCAAGGGAGAATCTTAGCAATACATAATTGATTTATATTTGTCTTCCAAATTTATATTTGTCTTCCAAATTTGTCTGCAAAATATAGCACAAAGCTTTTTTAAAAAATAAACTTCAAATTCCTTAGGTTTTCCCTACGAAGTCTACCATGCCATAGATGTGTACAACTGGCAGTTTATTTTTTTCTAACCCATTTTCCATTCCTCAAATTAAAGAAATGTCTTGAGTTTCCTGATGGCAAAGCTATTCATAAAGATAATATGTGCTATTGAGAAGTCCGAGTCAATTAGGCATCTAGGGCAAATGTTACTCACAAAGCAGTTAGATTTGATGGTGGGACAGTCCCTTTAGCACCAGCAGGCACCTCCTCTACTAGGTGGCAGTTTCTAAAACACCAAGTAAACAATTGTACGTAGATGATCTCTTTAATCAGAAATTTACACTGCTCCACTGCAGCTCACCGTACACTTACGGTAAGGTTTGAACCTGAAGAAAGGAGACACTTCATTTATTTCCAACCTACTAGCGAATCATACAATAGCACATCTTCAGATGAACACTGAAAATTTTGATCAAAGTAGGATATTTATGTATATACTATTCAATGCCCAAGTATTTTGGAACATTTTTTTCAAGATTTATTTATTTATTTATTTATTTATTTGAGAGAGAGAGAGAGGGCACGAGCGAGTGGGGGGCACAGAGGGAGAGGGAGAATCTCACTGAGATTCTCACTTCCCACTGAGCATGGAGCCCATTGCAGGGCATGGATCCCAGGACCCTGAGATCATGACCTTAGACAAAATGAAGAGTTGGATGCTTAACCAATAAGCCACCCAGATGCCCTGGAAAATTTTTAAACAATGACAAACGACTATGTTTTCATTCAGAAGTTTTGCCTTTCTTACATACCTTCTATATCTATGAGCCATTAATAGTAGTGGCAAATTGGGGGGGAGGGGTGTGAGGTGACCCTTACACCTTCCCACCAAGTACCAAAATCCATAATCCTACACTGTGGTCTTCAATGGCATTAAAAAAAAAAAAAAAAGGTTCTTAGCTAAACTTTCCAACAAAAAGAGAATAGAAAATGAAATTACAAGTATTAAGTACAGAAGCTTCAACTTGTCAACACTTGAAATTACATTTTCAGATTCCCTACCATAAACGGCCTGGATCTAAAATGAGTGTTGAAAGGAATTCCCTTTACCTACCGATAACAGAAAGGAAAGAAGGAAAAAAGAAGAAGGGAAAGAAAAAAATAATTTTCTATGTTTAAAAATTTGAGAACATATGGCATCATCCACATGGCAAAACCGCTCTCTACCTGTTTGGATCTTCAGAGGAGAGATGAGGGACATTTCTGCAACCCCAGAGAGATACCTTTTTGCATACATAATTTAAATAAATCACTCCAGCATGAAAGAAGAGCAGAATTCTTCTAATTATCACTGCCTAGACCCCTTGTGCTGTTTTTTCTTTAAAGCCACACTAGTTCATTATTCTGCCTTCAACTCTCTTAAATGATTCATTCCCCCTTTCACTCCTGAGCAGACTCTGCAGGGAAGCTAGTATTTAAGTTTAATTTCTAGTGCCACTTGCTTTGGAGAGTTTGATGAGAGGAAAGGGGAAGAATCTAATTTAATAATTCTGTCATGGTTTGGAGGGGCACCCTCCTCCCCTACCCCAAAAAATAACTAGACAAACAAAACCCTCTGGCAAGCTATAATCGTGAGCAAAGACACCAGTCGGGAAAGCAGGGCCCACGTGTGGTGGGAGCTGTCACCCAAGGGAAGTGGCAGCCGGCGAGGAGGAGGGAGCGAGGGTGGGAGAGTCGGGCTGCTGCTCGCAGCTGCGCCGGCCTGGGCGCTCCGAGAGACACCCGACTCCCAACTTGAACGTGCTTAGCTCTCTCCTAGACACTAGGCGGGGAGAAATCAAAGGACAGGGAGGCTGGTTCCCGCATCCCCGGGAGCAGTCCCTGCAAAAGGGACTGCCCCCGGTGCGCGCCGTGGGCTTCCCCAGAAGCCCGAGCCCGTGCGCAGTACGCGCGGCTCCACCACGTCCAGGGCACCCCCCCGTCTTACCGTCCCAGCTCTGACTCCACCTCGAAGAAATCGCTCAAAGCATCTCTGTTGGAACCTTCGATCCAGTAATCCGGGACGAGGCTCCCGGCCCCCGGGGCCACACTGGCGGTGACCGAAGAGCAGGACGAGGCCGAGCACGAGGGCACCGTGACTTTGAGCATCTTCGCGGCGGGACTCCGGAAGCCGCCACCGCTGTCGCCGCCGCTGCCGGAGCGAGAAGCCCCGCCGCCCGCCGCCGCCTGCAAAGCAGGAGCGAGAGGTGGCGTCCTTCACACACTCGCACACACCCACCGCCGCGGCCAGAGCCGCGGCCGCCGCCGCCGCCTCCCCCAGCGCCTCCCCCGGCTCCCTGGGCTGCGCTCAGGCTGCAGCTCCCTTCCTGCACACTTGGAAAGGAGGGAGGGAAGGAGGTTGGGAGGAGAAAGGGGCGAGGAACTAGGAGAGGGTGTGGAAGGAGAACCCAGTCGCCACCAGCCTGAGAGGAGAGGCGGAGGCACTGCAAAGGAGAGAGATTCCCTCCCCCTTCGCTCCCTCCCTCCCCACCTCTCCTCCTCCCTCCGCCGAGCCTTTCCAGCCCCCTCCCTTTTTTCCTTTCTCCCTCCCAGGCTGTGGCTGCGGCGGTGCGGGCTTGGGCGGCTCCGGATGCTAGGAGCTTGGGGAAAGCACGAGGACCAGAGCATCATCCCACGCGCCCTACCGCGGGAGCTGGGAACCTAGAAGGCACAACGCGCACAGTGGGACGCTCGCCCCAGGAGTGGCAGGCGCCCAGCGCGCTCTGGGAGCACATGGGTCTGGACCACCTAGCAGCAGAAGCGTGAGAGAGGGACCTGGCTGTCGTCGGCGCTACTCATCCTTCCCGGAGCGCGTCTAGGTGGCGAGTCCCTCCCACCTATCACCAGCTAATTAGCAATCCCCTGTTCATCCCTCTATCAAAGCTTATATTGGCAGCTGGGGAGGGTGCCCTGTGGTCGCCGATCTCCCAGAGCTCCTGTGCCCGCCCCCGTGATAGCTGTAGGAGAGGGAAGCCTGGGTCCTCACTGACCTGATTCACCTTTGAGTGAAGTCTTCAGTTGGAAGAGACGCTGCTGTGCTGCCGCCGACACTGCCCCCTTTAGCACTGTTAGCGCTCCTGAAAGGGCAGGTGTTTGCTGAGTCCAGTTCACTCTCAACCTCTGAAGGTTAGAACAGAAGTGATTCAGAGAATTACAGGTCTGAAAGGGCCCTGTGGAAGCCTTACGGGGGGATCGGTCACCATTCATGACAGAGAAGATTGCTACATTTAAAGCTCGTTACTCTTCCAAGGAGATGTGTCCCATCACAAGCACCCCAATGTCTGTCTGTCAACCTTCACACTGCTCTTCTAAGTACTGGTTAAATGTATACCATTTGTATTTCTACTCTTGAACTTTTTTCTTTCTGGATTTCAGCAAAGACAAACAATAATCAGTCATGTTCTGTAATAAATATATATAAAAATAGTTATTACATCAACCTCATTTCTGGCTAAATAACTCTAGGCCCTTTCTTTAACCTTACTTCACAGGTGTTACTTTCAGTACTTTTTTTTTTTTAACTTTCCTCCAACATGCAATAAACTCTTCTCACATGTCCCCATTCCTGATAACACCAACAAACAAAGTCCAGTATTCTCCTCTAATTTATTGATTTATTTCTGACTCTTAAGAGCTTTCATGCTATATTGGTGAGCTACCCTCCCCCCCAAAAAACCATAAAAAACAAAAACCAAAAATTAAACAATCAGTGATAGGAATATGATCTTTAGTTGATTGGAAATGAAAAATAAATATAAAAACTATCCCTCACAGATAATTTTATGAAGATGAGCATATGCTCAATTTACAAATGGCCTAAAAAATAGCAAGCATATGTAGATTCATACAAATTCAGTGAAATAATGAATTCTTTGGTGAAAGACTGAAAATGCTTACACAACATTACTTTTCAGAGAATGAATTCACTAATCTTCATGTTAGAAAATCAAGTTCATACTCAAAGCAAGCTAATAAAGCTCTAAAGTAAATTCTAGTTCTCATGAAGTAAGTTTCCTTTGGCTTGCACTGACTGGTGGAGGAAGGGCTGGAGTAGTTGCTAGGCCATTTTTATTCACACTTCTTTGAGGCAAGTTCTGAAGTGGCAGCACTGCATGTATGTACTTGTCTGTTGTGAGCAATTCTTTTACAACGTAAGTCCAAAGCAAGCATATTACATTGAAAGAGATGATAAGTCTTTTTACTCTTGCTATTTTAAGGAAAAATAGCCAAAGAAACACCATTTCATGGTATAGAAGAGACTGCAGAACTGATATTTACATTCAACACTGGTTTAGTCATTTGATATACCTATGCTTTTCAAAACTGACTTTTGTAAAAGTGCTATTAACTGATGTTTCAAAAGAGGGTATCTGGTTTAATAAATCAGTTTATGTTTATTTAAAAATAGAAGATGAAAATAAATATTATCTTAAGACAAGTGGAACAGGATTGAATCCATATGATTTATCTTCACTCCTTAAGAAATATCATTTAAAATGATCGGAAGAAGAACAAAGCCATATATCCACAAAAAGAAAGAGAGAAATAATATCAACTAAATCCCAGAATCTAAGAACAGATGGACAAATGGTAACTGACTTAGAAGACTGGGTATACCTGAAACCTAGATTCAAAATGGGAGAAGCCAATGAGAAAAAATCTAATTCTTACCACAAAATTACAGATATGCTCAGGAATTGAGTACCAGATCCTTCTAAAGTTGGAACAGAAAATAAGACATCAGTTGAACACTTTCATAAGAAATTTCTTAGGCCCCTACATTTCTTCTTCCACCATTCACAGCCAAAAAACACACTTCCCAAACCCTTGGAAAAGAGAGGAGATTTAATCTTTGAAAATGTTGAACAGAAAATGAAATGTTTTTATCACAAGGTACAGCTAAGACCATATTGAAAATAGAGGGATTCATGAAACTCTACAACAAAATATGAGATTTCCAGGTCCATTAGGCTCCCAGAATGCTGAAAAATGGGCATATATCTATCATATCCCCAGCCATACAAGAAATTAAAGGATTCCTCACTAAGAAAACTAAATAATTCAAGGAGAAAGGGACCTATGGATACTGACAATTAGGATACTTCCCGACAACAAAAAATCTAATTTTTCTCAACACCTTCTGCCACTTCAGAACTTCAGTGAAGCCTATCATTGAACAGGCCAAGGGATCCAAAGCTTCTTTTTTTTTTTTTTTAAGAATTTTATTTATTTATTTGACAGAGAGAGACAAAGCGAGAGAAGGAACACAGCAGGGGGAATACGAGAGGGAGAAGCAGGCTTCCCGCTGATCAGGGAGCCCGATGCGGGGCTCGATCCCAGGACCCTGGGATCATGACCTGAGCCGAAGGCAGACGCTTAACGACTGAGCCACCCAGGTGCCCCAGATCCAAAGCTTCTAATTGCCTATTTTTTGTCTCACTCAAACATGCATGGATACGGTTCCATTCTGGTATGGCAGAGTAGCTGGTATGACTAAACCTCCTGTATATAACAATTATAATCTCTGGATTAAATATAAAAAGGGTTCTTTAAATGTGCAAAAGTTCCACCAAAATCAGAAAACTGAAAATTATGTAACCCACAAAAGAAAGGAACGTTTCTGAATTAGATGCACATTTATTTAGCTTTTCCTCTGAGGGCTCTGCAGGTAACACAACTCTTAGTAGCTTGAGGTATCAGAAAACAGAATTCAGGGCTGGCAGATTGGCTAGAAATTGAGGAGTTCCAAAAAGGAGGGAGCACAGTGAAAGAATCCAACAATCTACATATAAATTGTGCTCAAATACTAGGTTAATCTCTGAACTACACATATATGTGGGACTCCAAGGAACTCAGCAGAAGGCACAAAGCATTAACTGGAAGGTTGAAAAGGTGAGAAAAAATTTCAGCTGTTCCTTACCTCAGGAGAGAGACATGGTTTGGAGTATGAGTTTCACCAAGTTTAACTGTGTGTTACAAGAAAGAAAGAAAAAAAAAAAACTCTTTAAGATAACAGAATCCAGAATCTCTGCAAGGAATCATTGACAATCTAGTATACAATTAAAAAAAATATTAGATATGTGAAGTGGTAGAAAAATTTGAACCACAGTCAAAAGAAATATCAACCAATAGAAATCAACACCAAGATGATTTAGATAGATTGGTATTCACAGACAAAGGATTTAAAACAGCTATTATAAATATGTTCAAATAATTTTTTAAAAAGATAATCACAATGAATGTACAGATGGGTAATACTATTAGAGAAATGGAAACTACTCAAAAGAAAAAAATTAGAAATTTAAAAGCTGAATGGGCAAACTATCTGAGATTCGAAAAAAAAAATCACTCAAATTGCTTACAGAAGAGTGCAGATTACAGAGGAAATAGTGGGTGAATCTGAAGATAGACTATGCTATCTAACCTCCAAGAGAGTCCCCCCCTAATCATCTCCTGATAATCATGCCTTTCTGAGTTCACCTACCACACTGAATCAGGGTTGACCTATGTGACAAATAGAACATGGTAGAATAAGGGTATGTGACTTCTACAGTCATAAAAGCATTACAGAATTTGCCTTGATCTCTTGGATTGCTCATTCCAAAGGGAAGCCAACTTCCATGGGATTCTCAAACAGCTCCATGGAGATGGTAATGTGGAGAGGAACCAACTTACTAGCCATGTGAGTCAGACACCATAGAATTAAATTCCCCCAGCCCCAATCAAACCATCAAATGACTACAACCCAAGCCAACAACTGACTAAAACTTCAAAGAGACCTGAGCTGAGCCAAACAACAGTTCAGAATTTCAGATAATTCAGGATTTTCTGAATTCATAGAAACCGTAGGAGATAAATGATTACTGCTGCTATAAGTCACTAAATTTTGGAGTAATTTATTTTGCAGCAATAGAGAATTAATAATACCATAGCTATAGAAATTATCCAATCTAGATAACAATGACAACAGAGAATGAAAGCAAAAAGTTGGGAAAAAAGGGGGGGGGACAAGTCTCAGTGAATTATAGAATATCAAGATATCTTACATATCACTGGGTTCCCAGGAGATAGAGAGAAAGGACTGGGGCAAAAAATTTATTTGAAAAAAAATGGCATAAAGTTCCCCAAATTTTGGTAAACAACATCAACTTATAAATTCAAGAAGTTCAGAAACCCAAACAGAATAAGTAAAAATAAAATCACACGTAGGCCCATCTAAGTCAAATGCTTAAAACAAACAGATAAAAAAAAAAAAAAAAAAAA